AAAAAAGTGAAATACTGCAAAACTCATTAAAAAACAACACTGTTGTTGAGTGCTCTGCAGGGCTGGAAAATGTCTTTTTTGGCTTTAAAGATTTCTTAATTCAAAATTCTTATTTAACTTGTTGTTTACACTCTGAATCTGTTTCTTACATACTATTCCTGGATAATTTATTTTGGTTCCTGCTATTGTGCCAAAAGGATGATATATAAATACTCTTAAATTCATCTTCAGCAGTTTTTGCTGAAAGTTGAACATACATAAATCTGTTGTGACATTCACTCTTATGCTTCATTATATGTTCTCAAGAGTTTTTACAGTCTTTTATGTCTTTGTTTTTCACTGACTGCTTTTGCATTTGTTGTAAAGATTAAATATATATGATATATATTTCAAGTTACCACTCATAATTCTTTGGTGTTGTATTTGGTTGTTAAAAAAAATGCCAGACTGATATGCAAAGTTTTGGTGGAATGGAACAAAAATTGAAAGCAACACTCATGACAGAACTTTATGATCTGTGTTCTGCTATTTACTCTGTAGATATATGGGTTTATGATACAAACCTTGTAAAGTTATTTCACTGCTCTTATATGTGCAAACAATTTAATGTACTTTGAATTTTGAAATACTTGATCTCACTATAACATTACATGATTTATTTTTGCAGGAATGTACTCAGCATACCTATAATTTTTCTGTTCTAAACTATCAATCCCTCAACTCCACAAAAGATTTTTGAATAAATTATGCATTTTAGAGCAGATGATTGCTTCAGGGTATTATATAACTTTTTAAAAAATTTGTACAACTGCCATCTAAACATTTGTGTACACAGAAAATGGAAAAGCATGTGCCTTTTCTGTTATGTACTTAAAGGGCACCTTTTGATGGAGGTGCACCTTACAGTGGAATTATCTGTGTGCTGATACAAAAGTCTGATGGTGTACAGCCAGTAATTATACCGACCCAGCACAGCTCTTGGAAATAAAGAACAGTCTGCCATGTTCTGGTTAAAGGAGTCCAGATGACTGGTATTACACATTTGCGTGGCTTTAATGCAACAACCTCTCTCAGTTTCTTCATTCATAAGTGGAAGGGCATGTGTGAAATTTGGGAGCCCTAACTGAAATTTATTGTTTGAAGAGACCTAATCCATTTGCCTCTGAAAACAAAGTCTTCATAGCACTTGTTTGGCGATTAATTTCCTGAAGTTAATCCATAACTGCAGGTAGGATTCCTGCCAACAGAATTCCCAAAGCCATCTGTGATTTCAACCTCTTATTGCCCCAATGTTTGTCCATTTTCTAGAGAAAAGCATAATCTTAATCTACACAATAAAATCCCTTTAAGACATGTTAATTATATGGAATACGTATATATTTATACATATAAGAAGTATCCTGTACATTACCAAACAACTCATTAAAGATTACATTTCTGAATTTTACAGACAGGTTAATATCCAAATGAAAATGAAGTGAAAATGACTACTGCATTTCTTGAATTATAACCTTGCAGGTGGTTGGTCTCAATTTTACATTTATTGAATTCCTGCTTCTCTAAGACCCTGTATCAAGTTTGAGAAGGCATAGGCTTTACTGATTAGTATTTAGATATTTGCATATTGTGAAAACAGATGTGCTATGGATTTCCAAGGGTGAATTTAAAGTTCAAAGAAATTAAGGAAAATAAAACCTGAGACAAAATACATTAGTCTAAGTAAAAAATACAACTCACTAGCAGCACAACTGCCACTATCCCAGATAACAAAGGTAGCTTAGAACAATGCAAGAACATAGATTCATGTGGAACATTAGGAGCAGAAGTGTTCAGTTCCTAAACCTGAAATTATTATCCGTGTAGGACCCACACAACTTTAGGTTTATATAACAATCAAGAAGATTAAATACTGGTCCATGTATAACTGAGTGGCAGGAGTACTCATATTGTAAATTACAGCAATTTTAATAAACCAGTAAGTTTGTCAAGGATGCCGGTAAGGCAGTATTGAGGTGGAAAAAAAACCAGTCAAGCTGATCCATGAAGAACTAGGTGACCGTATTTCTTTATGGAAGCCAAATATTCAAAAGTTACTGACTTTTAACCTCAAAACCACAAATTATGGGACAAAATGATAAAATTGTTGGATATTAGGCAATCACAAGTTTATCAAAGTTGCTTGTATAATCATATTCCATTCTCTAGTGAATTAATCTAGGGACAGAATATACCTAAGCATGTCATTAACAGGTATTGTAAAGAACATTCCTGGGTGCATTGCTAATTATTCATCAGGTATTTTCTAATGACTGAGTGCTTGTACTTACTAGAACGGAAAAAATATTATTTTTCTGTGGTGGTGTTTGAGGCTGCCAGGACAAGGGAAGAGATGAGAATCTTGACTTCATGTTTCAGAAGGCTGATTTATTATATTATGATACCTATTATATTATATTAAAATGCTATACTAAAATGATACTAAAAATAATAGAAAGAAAAGGATCCATCAGAAGGTTAGAAAGAACAGGAGAGGAATGATAGCAAAAGCTCGTGGCTCTCAGAGAGTCCGAGCCAGCTGACTGTGATGGCCACTAATTAGAAACAACCAATATGCACCAATCACAGACGCACCTGTTGTATTCCACAGCAGCAGATAATTATTGTTTACATTTCTTTCCTGAGGCTCCTCAGCTTCTCAGGAAAAAAATCCTGGCAAAAGGATTTTTCAGAAAATATCATGGCTACGTTTTGCTAAAAAGTTGCCCATAAAGGAAGAAGTTATGTGCTGTTGCAGCAAACCTCCATCATCAGTGAAGTTTGAAACCTGTGTTTGGCATGGCAGACGTGGTATTCTGCTTGACATAATAACTGGAAAAAATAAAAGCTGTTGAATATGATCATGTTTATGTGGTTTTTTGCCTTATTTCCAGATAGAGTATGGATGTAACTCAGGGCAGTGCAGACACCAAGGCTGTTGTCAGTTGGAGCTTGGATCAATTTACTGCAGAATCTCTGTAATCATGGGGGAGGCACCAGCCCTGGAGGGACTGAAAAGATGTGCAGATGTTGCTTGGCAGTGCTGGGTTAATCATTAAACTTGATGCTTCTAAAGGGAAAGACAGAAATGTCCTACTGTTACCCAGTGGGTTACTGCTGAATTAATGCATCAGGGAGAAAACCTAGTGAACGGGACACAAAGGTCTTGTTTTGCTGTGTCTTTTTTTTTTTTCCTCTTTTTTTTTGATGTTTGGGTTTTTTTGAGTTTTTCTTTTTGTTTGTTTGTGTTTTCGTTTCTTGGTTTTTTTTCTTTTTTTTTTTTTTTTTTTTTTTTTTTTTTGTTTTTTTTTTTTTTTTTTTTTTTTTTTCTTTCTTTTTTTCCCAGTGTGACTGTTTAAAGATTACAAGGTGTGTGAATTTAAAGGACAACAGCCCATTTGGAACAATTCCATGTTGTTTATGAGGGGGTTTATTCTGGATTAGATTGTTTCGCTTGCAAAATGTATCTTATTCATAAGAGTTCCCCAGAAGAGGAGGATTTTCACAAAAGGTATTTTAGTCAGTTTTACCTCATAGGCAGAAAATGTATAATTATCAGACACTTTCTTTAGTAGGACATATTACATTGTATCTTCTAAGAGATGCTTGCAACCTACTAACAGCTGAAGCTGCCATGGATATTAAGGATTTCAATCCAGTAGTGAAATTTGTATCAGCCATGATTTCAGTGACTTCTTGCCAGCTTAGGCATAGTTGTCTGTTAAATTTAGAGATACAGTCTTAATTCAGAAGAGCACTTTGCTCATTAGTATTTGGTAACTGCCAGTTCTTCCTGAGACACTTGTTATAGAATCACTTTCTTCAGGGGAAAAAAAAGTATTTGGATTTATTTTTACTTCTTTGCATGAGTCCTAAGATTTTAGTGTTTTTCTGTCAGCAACGTATTGTTTCACTTGCTGGAAACAATTGGTAATTTTCAAATGATGCTGCTAAAGAGGAATAATCTGGTTCCTCTATCATTTACTGATGGATATTGCAAGGCCTTTGGCCCCACCTGCTCAAGACCTTGCATGCTTTTCTTATACTGCGTTCCTGTCAAAGTCAGTTAGTTTAGTCAGCGTTTCAAGTGTTGGAGTCCAAAGGTAGAGGATAAAGCAAGCTCACCTTTACTCATTACACACAGAATAGCTTTAGAGATTCTGCTTCCATTCATAACACTGTTTACAATATGGAAAATTGCTACAGAAAAGTGGCTTTCCTCCTCAAGATCTATCTAGTCACTTAGAAATCTCTCAGTTGACATCAAGTTATTCTCTCGTTTCATGTCTAATTGGGCAATGGATCTAATTCCTCTGTCTTTCAACTGTTGCCTTGGGAGTGTGAGTAGTGTTTGTCACTAGAAATGATTGCACATAGTTTTAGGGAGCTCCATAAAATAATATTATATCAGTATATAATTGATGTTTTACTGTACATAAGACTCACTAATACTTTGTGAAGACCTTCCAGCTGAGAGGGAAAAGGAATATTTCTACCAGCAGAAGCTAATTGGAAGAAGACACCCTCATGTCTACCATGCACTGCTGTGATGATGTAAAGGTGAATTAGAGAACATCCATTTGCCATTGTGCATTTTTCCTGAGCAAATAGCATAGATACATATCATATTCCCCCTCCTAGAATAAAGCATGGTCTATGGGAGTCTGTCAGGACAGCAGACACTAGAAAACAGGGCTGTGTCTAAATGTTAAGCTTTTCCCAAAATATCTCTTTCTCCTCTCTTTTTGAGTTTCATTATTATTAATGCAATTTCAATTTTGCCTTGCTTCTAATTTTATTCATTACCTTTCAAAAGATGAAAGATGTTAAGATATGGAGCATTCTGAAGGGGACATTAAACAAACCTAATCAGAGATATTCCATACCATGAGGTCTCTCATTGAAGCCTGTTTTGTAAAAGCAGCTAAGTATATTAAATTGTTAAATAATAATTAGGTGTGAGCATTAATGATAATAGTTAACCTAGTTTGTGCTATCTGACCCAATTAATTTCTATAAATACAATAACTTCCTTTTGAGCTAATTCAGTTGAGACAGTGAGGCCAGCTCTTGCCCACTCAGAAAGGTCTGTTGTGCACAACAGACTTTAGTGGTTTTTTTTGACCAACTTTTCAGGAGGAATTAACACAATCAAATTGCAGTGGTCATGAAACTTGGGGCACACACTGCAGCCAACTAATCTGACTTATGTTGCTTTTATTTATTTAGGCTAAAACATACATGTGAGACATTCCTGGATCAATAAGTACTGTCAAAGAGCCAGGACACTGCATCATTCTTAAAAATTAATTCAATCTTAAATCAATATTACAATCAGCAGAACTTTTTAAAGAATATAGAACTATTGTTTTATGAAGAAAAGCCAAAGAAAGCAGCAGTCTTACAGTTATAAAAGTATTCCTAATTTTACACACAAGCATCTATGGAAAACATCTACACAATGGAAAAATGGTCAGCTCTTTCAATTTTCAATGAAGTGTTTAAGTTTAAAGCAAAGTGTTGATAAACTAATGGCATGTTACTTAGTGATCTTAGTTGTACAATTCTTATTATTACTGTAATTTTATTGAATAAATATGAATGTTGTAGAAGTGTGTATTCAGCATTAATTAATATTGCCAAGATGATGTCCCTTTTATACCCTAAAAGTTATTTGGAATGATTACATTTCCAGCAGGTCCAAAGAGGAATAATCTTGTATTTCTCGGTATGATATTTCTCGGCCCTGATATTTCTCAGTAAGAATTGTGGGTCAAGTACAATTTAAAATACACATTTGCTTGCACTCAGATGCCATAAAAGATGCACATACAGGTTTGGATAGGAAAAGCATCCAAATAAAATACTGTGCAAAGGTTCAGCTTTTATGCTGTTATGTTCTTATGCATGTTAGTCATTGGTCAGTCATAAGTGGCATTCCTCAAGGCTCAGTATTGGAGACAATACTGCTTAATATCTTTATCAATTATTTGGTCCAGGGACTAGAGGGCATCCTCAGCCAGTTTACAAATGACACCAAATTGAGCAGGAGTGTTGACCTGTTGGAGAGTTGGAAGGCTTTACAACAGATCTGGAGAAGCTGGATCAGTGGGCTGAGGCCAGTGGAATGAGGATCAACACTTGCTCTTGCATCACAACACCTCAAATCAATGCCACAGGTGTGGGGCAGAGTGATTGGAAAGCGACACAGCAGAAAAGTTGCTGGTCAACAACTAGCTGAACACGAGCCAGAGTCTGCCCAAGTAGCCAAGAAGGCCAATGGTATCTTGGCCTTTATCCGAAATTGCGTGGCCAACAGGACCAGGGAAATGACTGTATGGATATTCCCACTTAAGTGTAAGTGATGGGTTTTATTCTCACTTAGCTTATTTACTTTCAAAGTTTGTCCTCTTCAGAGTAGGGATTTCCCAGAAGGGGAGCATTTTCACAAGAAGTATTTCAATCAGTTTCACCACATAGGCACTTTATGTGACTATACAAAAAGTTAATTATGTATGATAGATTTTGATAAAATAGGAGAGAATATTCTGAACTCCAGTTTCCATCTGTGCTAACACATTATTTGTATGGCTTGGAATATGTGTGCCTCATTTGTCAAAATACCAAACCTGCTGTCATGGAAGATCCCTGTAGACTCCCTTTAAACCTGAAGTCCACCAGTAATCTTTAAAGGTGAAATACAAAGCAAAGATAAATGGTTTTCACACTTCATCTCTTCCTTTATGATCTGAAATTACTACACTGGCAGCAGAGGAAAATGTCTGCTTTATTTTTTAAATAATGTTTTTAGCATTTTCTAAGCTACAGTGCCTCACAGCTCTTTTGTGTTGCAGTGTTGTAACAGGATCTTTGGAGATTTGTAAGATGCGATTGTCCACATTTTAATTTTAAATGGTCTGATGCTTTATATGAAAAGAAAAAAGAGCAATTAAGAGGAGAAAAAACTGCATTTCAGATAAGACCCTAAATCAGCACTAGCAGTAGGGTTACCCATGATGCTGCTGAAACCTTCAAGGGAAAAAAACATGCCTTCATCCTACTGAAGTGGTCTATGTCCATAATATCATCTGTGTGAAGATATGCTGAGAACACAACTCTGCTCAGATTGCACCCTTAGTAAGATCCTGCCAGAGTCCTTCATCAGGCAGAAAAAGTAATTCCATTGGGCTTCTAAAGAAAGAAACTTACAGAAAAATTATGTATTATTTCTGTAGAGCTAAAGAGATACTAATCAGACCTTCCATATAGAAAATGTTGATAGTTTTAATCAGTGTGTAAGAAAAATATTTAATAATATTAAAGATTTTTTTTCAGAGAAATATATAATATTCATAAAATTTTTAATATCAAACCAGGATTACTTTGCATACGAAATTTTACTATATTTATAAAAAAATAAATTATTTATTATTTTCTCAATTCACTTTTAAGATAATCCTGTGAGCACTGCCTGCAAATAATTATTTTAAAGAAAAAAATTCTTCTCAAAGCTTCTAAAATTTCTCTATGTGTTTTTTAAACCATAAAATACACTGGCTGTTAAGTAAGGATTTGTGAAGCCATTAATACTGATGCATTTTTGATTTGGAATAATGGCCGAGCATACTCATCCTGGAGAAACTCAAAAAGGACTGTAGCTATATGGTCTATACCTTTCCCTTTTCATGTATTTTGGGTAATTTAATAAACAAGCACCAAAGGAGGGAAAAGGTCCTTGAGTGACACAAACTGGGGGCAGGCTGACTCCAACTTCAAAGTGGTGGATGGAAACCAGAAAGATTTTCTTAGCCTATGTCTAAAATTGCATTATTGTCAGAGTGAGTCTTATATTTGTGAAACAATTCTCAGTTTGTCATTCAGGTTTATGCCTCTGCAGTACTGAGATATGATCTCCCTGTTTTGTGACACTGACATTTTCCTGTACTGTTCCTCACCTAATGCATGTGTGAACAATTGCTTCCTGGATAGCGTGACCAGACAATAACAAGGGAACACTCTTTAGGTTAGAAGTCCTACTCAAGATATATATTTCTGAGCTTTCTAGCACTTATGATATTAAGTTAATCTTGTTGAATCCAGAAGAAAGGTGCTACCAAAATCTGTCAAGGTAATTGTTCTTCTTTATCCTCTGAGAAAGTCCTTTGTGTCAAATAAACATTTTTTAAGTGTTCCACCATAATGTCCTCCTCATCTTCAAGATCTGCATCTTCTTTCATCTCCCACCTGAAAGAAAAAAACATTTTATTAATTCTTAATGTTTTTTAAACTAGTCTTTAGAACAAGTAAAAAAATACAGAACTTGTTTTTATTAATTCATTGCCCTCCCCAGCCAAGGTTACACTGGTTGAGATTACTGAATTACGCAAAATACAACCCCCAAAAACCCTGCCACACAGAACTTGGCATGGGCATGAGGCAATTGACACAAATTGTCAAAGCTACTACAAAATCTTACTTATATTTACTGCAACAGTCCTTTTTTTTCCATTTTATGTGTCACACACACATTAGTAGAGGTGGAAACCTTGTAAAATTTGCACAGAAGAAGTGGAAGAGCTAACACACATTTTGGAAGTTAAGCAGATGCTCTCAATGCTCTCTTAAGTTTGCAGTGAAATATCACCACCTGAAGTCCAACCCAAATATTTAATGTGAGTTTAATTCTCTGGCATTGACAGTACTATTTTACAAAATGCTACAAATCTGACTGACTCTTTTGCTTATTTAACCATCAAGTATAATGATGTAACCAAAACCAGATGACATCAGATTTTTCCTTACCCATGTGAATACTCATTTCTAGTTTAGGATTAAGAGCTAATGCCACTAAAACTGCAAAAGTGAAGGACTGTGAAGATGATTTTTTTTTTTCTTAGTAGTAGCAGTAAAATATAAAACCATAAAAGTCATGCAGTATTCTGTTAAAGAAAATCAGGATAATAAAAGCAGCAAGAGTGCTGATATGTAGTCAGGTAAACTTTGTATCACTCCAATTATGCCTACACAATGGTGACTTCTTTTACAAATTCTGTGGATATTTAAGAGTTTGATATCCATTTAATATTAATCTCATTCTGTTCTAAGTAGATAATAAAGTGTAAGCTCCCTGTTCAGACCACCTGAGGACAAAAGGTAAAACACCAATACTAAAACTAGAAATCACATTTTCAAGTATTAAAACTAACAGGTTATAAATGAGCCATAGAATGAAGCAGAAAAGTGGGAGATGTAAAAAATCAGCTGAACAAGAACTGCTTTTAGGAAACTGTCAGGAGCAATACTTTAGTCCTGTTCCCACAGTTCTTAGGTCCTCATTCATACTGCAAAAATCAGAAGCCATATACAAGACTAGATTGATGAATAAATAAAATATAATACAGAATGGTAGAACTACTATATTTCATTCCTTATATTTGGAAGAAGAGAACAGCTAATTTTGGCAATAGAGCATGATGTATACTTTGTATCTATTTTAAAGCTTACTAAAACCAGAAGGAGCATGTGCTTTATAGTAAAATCTCATTGTTAAAAAACAATTAGGAAAAAATATGTTCAATTAACATATATAAATTAGCACATATACGTCACACCTTTACCTTCAAAACTGAATCTGACAACCCGTATTACTGCCTGAAGGAGTCTCAGAACAAGGAAAGCATACTATGAATAAAATTATAAGCACTGAATGCCTATGATCAAGGTTTTGCAATAATTAGCTTCCTATTACTCCACTCATATGTGACTGCTGTCATACTTAACCTTATGTGTATATTAGCATTAGGTACAATTAATTGCTCTGTCTGCTTCATTCTCTGGTTTATGATATAAAATCTGGCTGTATGACCCTTCAGTGTAGTCACTTATTCAAGCATCCCCAGTAAATGGTGTTTAACAGGGTGACTGGTTTTCCCTTTTCCTTTTGGTAAGGTATATCTTCTCTTCAAACCTAGGAAGAAGTTGTGCATGCCTTAATTTGAATTTATGGTCTTCAGCATTATTCAGAAACATTACTACACGAGCTGAACTAATTAATTTGAATTAATTTGATTTGTTGCACATTTTTACTAGAGGAGCTGTTTGCTTAGAAGGACTGTCATAGTTACAGAGATAGGAGGTAGAGTGTAGCATTAGGGGTGACCCAAAATCATGTATTCCATATCTTCTCTACATCAATCCATCCAAGGTAGTGTACTATCTCTGTAAGACCCAGAGCTGGAAGCAGAACGTCTGTGTGTTACCCCGGATCATGGAAAGGGGAGGGGTGATGAGGACAGACAAGTGGAGCTCTCTGTTTCATCCTTTCCAGACTCTTGAGAAGGTCAGAAAATGGGGCGCTCTGACAGGCTGCTAGCCACGGCTTCCCAGGAACTGATGAAAAAAAAAAGACAGAGAGCGACCATTGCCACGGTTGCTATAGCAACCACCGCTTTTGGAGCCCGGGACTCGCCGCTGCTGCTACTCAGGACAGCTTCCTGTCGTCAAGTGTTGGAGCCTCTCCACAAGTTTCCAGCTGCTGAGGGTGTTGGCCCTACATCTGCTGAGAAGTTTCTTCCAGTGTTTCAACAGCACTGACTCCTTTAGGAGAAAAATATGTTTTCCAGGTTTTATTTTTCACCGCTCCCATAGTTGCCTGGAACAGAAGGCAGTTTTGGAACCATGGATGCTTGTTTGCTGTGTTGCCTTTGTGCCCTGTCTTGGCCGTGTGGCCCAGAGAGTGGAATCGACACCATATTGTCTGTGTGCCCCGGGACAATTTGGGGGACCTCCTCTCCATTTGTGGGTGAGGGTTTAAGTGTTTGCCTCTATATTTCTTGGTCATTGCTGTTTTCTTTTAGTAAACTGTTTTTTCTTTTTCACATACCTCTTCGCATGTGTCTCTCCTCATTGGTAGAGGGGATAGGTTGAAAACTAAGGGGAGAGAAATTATTGCAGAGTCTCTGCCCTGTAAAATTGCCTTAAACCAACTATATTTGGCACCAAGCTAAAAGGCGGTCAAGAGAGGAAGTGAAAAAATAACAAATTTGACCAAATAATTTCTACATTGGGTACAGAACTCCCTGGTTATTACATTGCTTGGTCTGATCATGGTGCTGTGGCACCTAACTTTGTATATGCGTCCAAATATGTGGAAGGATCTGCCCGTGATAGTGCTGTTCTTCAGATCAGGGAGAGGAACCAAGATACAGTTGATACAGTTTGTGTTACCAGTTTATGGAATGATAACATTAAAGGCAATGAAGATCGTTTGGTAAATGTATTCATTGTTGTTTGCCTGTCCTGATCTGGGTTGCTGTGCCTGGGGGTTTATTAATAATCACACACAGCCTGTGGGGGGAAGAGGAGAATATGATTTTTCCTTTTGCCTTTCACATCCTGCCCTTCAGGTCTGACACGTCTTGAGAAAGCTGAATTCTCTCAGGATGCTACGGACACCGTGGGAATTCAACTGGTTGGCATGGATAGGGAGCTAGCCTTCATCGATAATGAAGGCATCAACTTAAGGCCTTGGGATGCAGGATATTAAGAAATGAAACATCTCGTTGGCTTATGGTGAGAAGCATGGGATCATGGGAGTTATGTTAACACTGTTATTCCATATTAGGCAATGTTTCTAGTTCTTGTTTCTGATTGGTTAGATATGTTTTCCATACATGGTTATGTTTTTAGTTCCCGCTGATGATTGGTTCTCTGCCCTCTTATATATTGTTGAGTTTGCCCCATTGTCTTGTCTTCAAGGATCATCCCCTACAGTGTATGGCTTTTGCTTCCTTTGTTATTTTTGCTCATTATTAAAGTTCTCTATTTTTTGGATATCCTCGTTGTTCTCGTCCCTATTTCATCTGCCACACAACTCCCAGCTGGCCCAGTCCTGAGGTCACGTGCACTGGCACGACAGGACACCATATTCTCCTTGCTGGCTCTGCTCTGTCTCCTCTGTACAGTCTACAACACATTTGGAGTCAGGATGGAGATCCTAGGGAGGTGTCTTGGAGTGACTTATTGATGATAGCCTATTCCATGGTCCTCTGCTTTATGTCCAAAAATTATTGCTGTATTTTTAAAGCCTAGGATTGGTAGTGTGTGTGACTGGGGAGGGGGGAGCTTTGGGCTTTTGGTGGGCATTTTTGAAGCCTCACTGCCTAGGCATTCCATGGCACTGTGCAGTTTGGGTTTGTTGGCCCAGGCAAAAAAGCTTTTCCCTCCTCTGGCTTGAAGAAGCTGCAGCAGCAATCTTTCATCTGCCTTGAGGTGAACTGAACAGCTGGTGGTCCAAGACTGCAGGAGTGGGACTGGCTGGAGCGGGGCTGCCCCATTCCAGCCCCACACTTTGGGGAGTTGAGCCAGTGAGAAAAAGCACACCAAGAGGCTCCAGCCCAGCAGTTTGTCTGCTGTGGAGAGGGGGTCGATGCCAGAGAGCCACCAGGCTTTTGCCTCCTTTTGGAACTCCTCCGTGGTATATCCACTATCCTCAGCATGAAAGCCTATGCTGTCTCGTACCACGTGTCAGGAGTATAGTTTGGAAGTCTCCCTCTGCACAAATACAAAACTTTGGTAAGGTAGCAGAATATTTTAAATAAAATTGCTGTGTCAGTTCCAGAGAGGGGCAACTTACTGCTCTCTGCTGGGCCCTAGTTAATGCTTACTTGTATGCTTCTTGTTGCTATTCAGCAGCAGCTGCAACCAGAAGAGAAGGAGAGCAAATTGGCAGTCACCACAGTCACTCAGGCTGCAGTTAAACAAGATGGGTAGCCTAAGCCAGTAGCAGTCGCCCCTGTCCTAAGGAGGGGCCAAATAAGACCAAATCCAGTTGCCCAGTAAGATGACCATGGGGAGTTCTAGGGAGAATGTTCAAGGGGAACATCCCTTCAACACATCATGCAACAATGCTACCTGGAGTAAGCAGATCACTCTGATCACATAGCAAGTTCAGATGGGAAAAAATCCTAATCATTCTGGGATCTTGGAAATTCTCACAAACTGGCCTCAAGGTGAGTGTTTTGGACTATCATCTGAAGAGGAAGAGGATTAGGTGGCACATGCTGAGGAGGCCCCACCATATAACCAGCCACCAGAAAGTGAGAGGGGACACACTGTCTTCACTGACAGTTCCTGCCTTATCATAGAGACAAGTCAAAATGGAAAGCTGCCATATTGGAGCCTAAACAGTAAGTCACAGAAACTATCAAAGGACAAGGTGGATCAAGGCAGGATGCAGAGGGGAA